TAAAATTTTGGTAAATGACAAATAATGAAAAGTAAATAAAATAAGGGATTGAAACTTTTATAAATTTTTAAAAATTTTGTAAACTTGAAACTAGCTTCCCTTCCTTGGATCAAACCTGATACCCAGTATTTCCAGATGCTGTATGACATATAAGCTTATTATTCACACATTAATACAGTAGGACCCCTGTATCTGCGAGGTGTACATTACAGAACTTGCCACGGATACCAAACCCTGTATGTGTTGTTTTTCGTTTACATACATAATTGTTATAAAGTTTAATTGATAAATTATGCACAGTGAGTGGAGAATTATCACTGGCAAGACTTCATAGCTTCTCTTAAGCATTGAGGAATTTCCACCATCACTACTTTTGCACTTTCGAGGCCATTATTAAGTAGAATTAAAGGTTATTTTCGGCCACGGTAACTGAGGATAACTGAAACCATGAATACTGGACCCATAGATACAGGATCCTACTGTATAACAATAATAAATTAAATCATTGTAGTAAAAAATTAATCTGAGTGATTTAATTAAACAAGAAATTACCACTAGAAAGCAACATAAATGCAGTAATAAGGAACTCTTTATTGACAAAATTTTAAAATATTCTAATAAATGGATTGTGATATTCTTAAAGAAATTATTTATGCAATACTGTATGTCATATCATAACTGGAATATGCAGCAGTAGTGTTTTGAGAAAAGATTTGTTTTAAGAAAGAGTAGTTCTGAGTCATAATTTCAGAAAACCTCTCTTTAGAAAATTGAAATCAGTTTTACTATTATCAATCAAAATTTTTCCTTTTATTTAGAAATATGAGAATTATAGAGTACCAGTATCTGAATTGGAATTACATTTTCCTAATTCAAGAATTACATAGAAAGAGACCCTTTGAGAGAGGGCCTAAATGCTGTAAAGAGTTCTTGATCTGAGGAAGTGAAGCTACTAATTCCTTAGATTAAACTTGATTGTATCCCATTCCCAGGCACTGTATGATCCTTGTGGGTTTAGCACTTCTATATGAATACTAATATTAGATGACAGAGTAATCCATCAAATAATCTACCAAATACAGTAATAAATGAATAAGAAACTGCTAATACTTTAACTGAATTATCATGCAAAATGTTTGTAATATTTTTTCTTCCTCAGCAATGTACAAGATGATGAACCACATGTATCATCAACGTATAAAGAAATTAGGCCCCACGAGCTGGAAGAAGAAGTTTGCTTAGTTAGATAATGTCCATAAGCTGGAATAACATTTCCTGTAAAGTGGGTAAACTGACAAATACTTTGCAGCAAGGAAATCCTTTTTCAATGTTATGATTGTTTTAATTTGTTACAACTTTCAGATGCATTTATGAAGTATTTAATCCTATTTTATTGATACTGTTTATCACTGTCAAAAATAAAAACAGGTGCTGTCTTTGGAAATAATTGCCTCGGTGGGAGACGGCCGACTTGTTAAAAAAAAAAAAAACTAATAGTAATGATGACTTGACTAATTATCTAACTTGAATGAAGAAAAGAACCGTGAAAAATTGCTAATAGTAGATTTGGTGTTATTTATAATACCTAATCACTTTTGTATCAAAATATTTAACTTTTTACACATTCGAAATATGTATTGGGAAGTTGACAAACTGTAAATAAATTTTTTTCTGCAAAATTTGCTATATATAATATCATTAGTGTTTTAACCATTTTAATTTATTTATACCATCAAAAATAATTTATCCTTCATACTTTTTTATACTAAGGTACAACAATATTTTTAAATTGGGGAATTTCTATCAATTATGTGGTATCTTATCTCAATGGAACTGTTTTTAAAAATATCTTCCCAATAATGAAAGAAAGTGTAATGCTGCAGCTACATACTTCCATTTTTAGAGAAAATAAACAAGACCAATGGTAGCATTAGTATTTTTTAGGCAACATCCATTAACAATAAATATCCAGTGACGAAACAATCAACATGCTCACCCTGATCTGTTACAGGCAAGCTAAGTGAGCATGTGAAGCTTATATATCAGTTTTACAGAAAGGTTCACTTCATTAATACTGTTATCACATAAAGTGCATATATGCATTGACAAATAAATCTCTTAATCTCACAAATCTAATTTTTTATATGGCTCCCAAAAAACATTTTGAATAGTTGGCCTTATTCTAAGACTTTACAAACACCACAGTTCACTTGTTTGTCCCATTCAGTACTACCCTCTTTTGAACAGTTAAATGTCCTTATGTAAACAGAGTATCCACATAAATTAGGTACTCCATACTTCTGTTGTAGACAATATATAACATTAAGACAGCATACCTATATGCTCTTCCCTTGGTTCAGATTCAAGGGACTTTAATGTTCAGAAAAAATATCACATGCCTTAATGTCCTATGGAGAACTGAAGACAGAAAATGTTAATAAGTAAGATTTACATAACCCAGGGCAACATGGATTTAGAACAGGTTGCTCCTGCATCTTGCAATTAATAGACAACTAGAATACAACATAGTTATGGATACACCAGAAGATAATGCAAAATAATATTACACCATGACTGATTATTATGTTATCAAAGATAATAAAACTACCATTCTTTCTTCCACTTAAAAAGAAATATGGTCACTTATCTTTCCTCATAAGTCAAAATTATAACAATCAGGAGTTCTAAGTAAATTCTTTATATGTGGTATTCCCAACTTATGAACAAATTATATTCCCAACTTCAGTTTTTGAAGCAAACTTCTCAACAGAAACTCATAATGGATGGTTAGATTCCTTACCAGTCCCCTTCAAGGTGGGTACTTTGATGTTGATTAACCCGTAAACGGTCCAAACGTATATATACGTTTTTTCAACATTTGAAAGTATGTAAAAAAAGTAGATCTTTTTGTTTTTTTACATTTGAAAATGTGTAAAAAACTTTGATCTACTTTTTTTTTTTTGATATACAGTGGACCCCCGATTAACGATATTTTTTCATTCCAGAAGTATGTTCAGGTGCCAGTACTGACCAAATTTGTTCCCATAAGGAATATTGTGAAGTAGATTAGTCCATTTCAGACCCCCAAACATACACGTACAAACGCACTTATATAAATACACTTACATAATTGGTCACATTAGGAGGTGATCGTTAAGCGGGGGTCCACTGTATTTGAAAATATGTAAAAAAAATATAGATCTACTTTTGTAGCACTACACATGTGAACGTAGATCTGCTTGGACCGTTTACGGGTTAAAGAAAGCTAAGCAACAGTTTCCCTTCAGATCAAGCTTTATAACCTTTTCCTTAGGTACTGTATGACCCCTACGAGTTGAGCCCCTTCATATACACTCACACACATTAAAATAATCCTTTATGTAAGAAAAGAATATATATTTGGTAATGTACCTCTCCAAAGGGGGGTGCCTTGATCAAAGGAACTGGAGCTACTTTCCCCTTCTTTAAATCAAGCCTGATACCTCCCATTCCTCAGGCGCTGTACGGCCCCTATGGGTGTAGTGCTTCTCCATGACTATAATAATAATAGTAATTTACCTTACATATTGTGCCTTTTCAATTTCAAAAAGTGTAATAGAAAACAATACTTCTTTAATTATATGTTAAATACAAATAATAAAACTACAGTAGTATATAGAAGTGTTTTATTTAGTACCTTGTTTGCTGCCGCTGCCATTCTTATTGGAAGGGACTTTTTTTGCAGCATGTCTGAAATAATAATAATAATAATAATAATAATATTTTTTTTTATTATCACACTGGCCGATTCCCACCAAGGCAGGGTGGCCCGAAAAAGAAAAACTTTCACCATCATTCACTCCATCACTGTCTTGCCAGAAGGGTGCTTTACACTACAGTTTTTAAACTGCAAAATTAACCCCCCTCCTTAGAGTGCGGGCCCGTACTTCCCTCTCCAGGGCTCAAGTCCGGCCCGCCGGTTTCCCCAACCCCTTTATAAATGTTTCTTTTTCACACTCAACAGCAGTCAAATATTAAAAA